TCAGTAACTTTATTTCCACTTCTCTGCTTTTGTTCCCATTTTTCAATTTTCCATTCCCGGTGCTCATTCCCCACTCCCCATTCCCTGCTATAGTAGCTTTTGCCACAGATAGAAATTAACTTCTGGTTAAGTATGTCTACGAAACAGCACCAAAATCCTTCAGGGTTATACTCTAGCTTTTCAGATCTTTAAATTCCATGACTTTCCATGACTCTTTCCGGCATGACCTTTTAAAGTTTTCCATAACCTTCGGTTTAGCTGTCACTTTCGAAAATTTTCAAATTTTTCTTGTTTTAGCATATTTTTTGACCTTAAACAGTTCAAAAGACACAAACTCTGGTGTCCACCAAAATACGTCCCGTTCGCGCTCTTTAACTACTTCTCTTGATCTTAAGTTGTCCTTGGCATGCTTTGTCATCTGTAGTATCTATTCTACCTAACAGAACTTTCATTTTCCATGACTTTCAAGGACCGACAATTAAATTCCATGACTTTCCAGGTTTTCCATGACCTGTACAAACCCTGTCCTCGTTCTGGGCCCACACTTGTCTACCAGGATTTGAGTACGTGCCATGATTGGCTACGTCTTTAATAGTAACATCCCTGAGAAACAAGCGAAGAAATTCCATACTGATGACTTGTCACTGCCCAGATTTGGGAAGTACTTCGATTCGGTAAAAACTTGCCTCGTTCAATCAAACCAAGCACTACCTAGACATGGGTAGTGAGGCATCATCAGTGTGGAATTTCTGCGCTCCTTCCTCAGATGTCATTTCGCGAGAGACCGCAGTGGTGGTGTCGCGAAATGACGGGTGTTTTCTCAGGCTAATTTAAAAGTTTACCGTTTTCAATCCCACTCTCTAAAATATTGCATTTCAGGGAATGGGGAAGCGAAAATACCTCCAACCAGGACAAACTCAACATACCAGAGGCACCCAAGACATTATAACTTGGCGAGGTAACGAATGTCCCAATCCATCGTCAACTTATCGCTCGGATTTCCCTTCTAGTTCTAGAACGTCGTCGCGTGGCTACAACGAAAGTGAGCCGATTCATGTGAGGTCAAATCTCGAACTTAGACGAAGGCATCTTCGGGCGGCTTCGGCCCCTCCGTCGCAGCGACGAACAGCTCCGTTACTTGCTTGGAATGAGCCAGATGACGCGCTACATGGAAAGCCTGGAGTTGGTCTCAGACAGCCGATTCGGGAACAAGGACCAAGCTACGCTTCCGCGACCCCTTTTGCAAATACAGCCCCGGCTGCTCTTCGCTCACAGACTGTACCCAGTTCGAAGAGTTTTACTGTATCAGAAACAATCGTACCTCTTAGTACCACGTGACTATGAATATTAGCTGTGTGCTTTGTGCTAAATTGAACTGAGATTTTAAAATTCAGCACTTGCACATCTCCCATAATGCACCTTATATGTTCACAAAATTTTGCATAACCTTTGTTTTTCATTTCTCCTGGGTATTACAGTGGTCCCAAGAGAAATTGAAAACAATGCTTATGCAACATTGTGGGGGGCAAATAAGATGCATTATGGGAAATGTGCAAGTGGCGTATGAGCAATTACGCCAGTGTAATCATAGGAAACCCTCGTTCTTAAAACTACGACCTGATGCTCAGGTAAAAACTCAAGTCCTCAGTTAAAAGGGGGGTTTTGTTTTAATCTGTTCTTATCTTGGCCACTTAGAGAGTATAATTATAGATATAATTTACCGGTCTCAAGTGGCCTTCTTCGGCTGATTTCAAATAATAAATTATTATTATTATATTGGGGTTGTTGAAAGTCGAATCGTTTTCACGTACCCGAGGCGTTGGCAGCTTTGACTGGCTGTTTACCGTCATCGACTCAGACCTATAAGGTCATGTGGATCTGAAAGCAGGGGCATGCAACGACGGTTTCCTCCTTAATACATTGAAACACTTTTTAGGCTATCCAGAGTACTTACAGATCTCTAGAAATGCATGTGGCGCTATAAAATTTGTATCTGCTCGGTCATCCTAGGGGAACTTGAGTCTTTTCGAAATTGCAAGGGCTTCAGTTTTTTATCCCGAAAAGTTTAGATGCAATTTACCATTTTACGAAAGTGAGAATTTTTCTCATTCCTCTCTCAATCACATTTTTAAATGCGAAAATATTACGTTCCCTTTGCTACGAAAAATAGCCTAACCTGTGGAGTGAAGTCTGAAAAAATAGACTTAAGAAAATCGTAGGACGTTTATCAGATAAGCTTCGAAAATTGTAAATGAATGGAACGGTTATTTAGAAATTTTTAGCCATCCTCAAGTGGTAGAAAATTATAGACCAAATCTGCTTCTCCGAACAGATATTTTACAGAAAGCAGTCGTTGGGTGCTCCTGTGAAAGGGATTAGAAAGCCAGGATAGAAGCCTCTTATCCACCGAAAAAACATGTACATAATGTAAGTAGACGATCTTATGGATGCAAACAATAAATAAATGCTGTACACATGGTAATAAAGGAGTGTTCCTGTGTCAAAAATGTTTTGACTATTAAAACTTCGAATAGAAGACCAGAGTCTGCAGAAAACAAGAGCGCACGTTATGTTAGCGCTGCGCGAGAATGACATGCGCGCGCGCTAGTAGGAGAGATCTTATCACGCAATAAGCAAAGATAGGGTACGTTAGTCTGACTTTGAAGTAAAACCCTTGGTTACTCAGATACAACCAACCTGCGAGAGGTCCTGCTACATGGCCCGGCTATCATCGCTCCGCTGGGAGCTGCATGGATAAGTTCGAGGCTGACTTACTAATCACAACCAGCTCCTGTCTCAACGCAAGCATATTCAGCTCAAGCTCAGTAACGTGCTAGACATTAGTACGTCATGCTGAATAAGTAAGCATTTATATATCAGGCGCCATATCGGCTTTCTTTAAGGGGCTCGACCCAGAGCTACTCGGATTTATTTTTACTAGTACAGCGTCACGATCACGTGACTAAAAGAAACGACGGACCCTGTGCACAATGATGAGCCCCAAAACACTGCGTCTGATGAAAACGGAGCATGCATCAGTGTGGTCGGGGCCTCGATCAGTAGCCTGTTTCAGCAATTGGCGAGGTTCTACCTTTTTTTCTCTCGGCTCTCTATTTCGCTCCGAACGCCTTGAACAGGTGTCCTTCACCCACAATTCCTTTCGAAAGAAATCAGCCGTATTCTAGAATCATACAAACGTGACCCCGGCATCTAAATACAAACGGTATAGTTCGATTTATGATCAGTAGTGGAAGACTTGTTGCTACTGAAAACATTTTCATGCCTTCTGGCTTTTATTTTGAGGCGAGAAACCCTACGTGAATGGAATCACAACAAATGTGAAAACCATGACATTTCCGGGTTTGACAGATCGCGGGCATAGACAAGGGAAGCGAATTCGCGGTAGAAAGGAGTGCTTTGGTTTGTCGGGAGACATTTTTTCCATTCTGATATTGGATAATGGAAACTGGAAATGCCCAACAAAAATTAACCGAGAGAGCAACAACAGAAGAGGATCACATAATTGCTCGAGATGCGGCGTTTTCCCAAAGCTGCGGTGAAGTGGGAACACTGCGAGATGAACTCGAACACGAATATTTGAATATTGTGAATAGCGCAACAAATGACGATAGAAATTCAAACAATGATTTAGCGGACGATAATAAACATGAGCAATCTGATGACGAACTCGACTTCATATTGCCCTCTCCACCGACAGAGTCTCCAGAACCAAGTAAAGATTCTAACCCGACGAACAACGGACTCGACCGATTCAAGTGTCCGGATCAGGCAAAATCTACCCACGATAAACTAGATGGTCGACTGCCTCACCCACCATCAACTTCGAATTCTGGAAATGATGGACAAGAACAAACTGATGTCTTGGAAAGGCCGAGAATTCGAAATGAATTGTCTAAGGATCAGCTTCGAGCGAATATTTTTAAACAACCCGCCGGATCACTGGGTCCGTGTTACGGACCTTTACCGGACGATCAAACTAATCGCACTACTGAAAATATTAATACGGCCTCATCGAGCCTGTCTGAGAGAGATAGTTATATGTGGAGTTTAGGGAGCGTAGACCTACCTTCAATGCTTGCTCTTAATGACGGAGTAGAAAGACTTCTCTGGCCTGCGGAGGTATGTTTCCTAATTAGAAATCTTAGCTTTTTTGATTGTTCTGAAAAACAGGCTTTTGAAATTCAAATTGAATTGAGACATTTATTACATATACTAGCAATCGTGTAATTCAAGTTCATTTTGCCTTTTTTAAATACATGATATGTACAGCATAATGCTTATAAATGTGATGTTCATTTTGATAATTCAGTTGAATGGTTGCAATCGAGCCAGACGTCAGGGTTGAGTGATTTTACAGAAAAACAACGATTATTGTGTTTTAATGCAGTCGAAGCTGCAAGTGGCCACAACGAATAGTTTTTTTAAAATAGTTTTTCATGGGATTATCAACACAAGAGAGGAAGAGCACACCAACCTTTCCAAAATCCTCAAGTTTCTTGTTTAACTGTTTAACCGTTTAACTGTTTATTAATTATCACAAATTTTACACAAAGCAATACAGCTGGCAATATCCACTGCCCGCAGTTAGCAGGTTAGCTAGTCGAGGCGAGCAGTGGTTACACGTATGTAATACATATACAGATAGATCACAAGAAAGACTAGAGAAAAAGAGTAGTTAAATAAATAAACAAATAAATACAAAATAAATTCAATATAATTAAGTTTACAATCATGGACATTGCAAATATAAGAAGCCGAGTTTTCAGGAAATTTTTGTTATTAAGTCGGGTAAATCAATATAATCATTTTCTTCTGAAAGTATTCGGAGTAAAGTGTCGTGGACATTGATTTTAAAGTTATTTTTGGACATTTGACGCATTTCACACGGTAAACTATTCCAGATTTTTACACCATATCTTGAAAAAGACTTAGTTTGTTTGTCAAACCTTGAGTGTTTAACATAATAGTCACCTCTTGAAGATGATCTTGTACTATATGAATGAATATTAGATTGGGAAGCAAATAAGTTAGATATGTTAGTAGGTGTTAGGCTGTCATGCATTAAGCTATCATGCATTAGAATAGCAACGGATTTAAAGTACAGTAGATCTAAGGGAAGAAAGCTAGAGGAGACAAAATAAGGTACTGCATGAGAATTGTAGTCACCAAAGAACATGAGGCGGAGGGCGCGTTTTTGAAGAATAAGAATTTTGTTTTTGTAAGTTTTAGCAGCTTGGCCCCTAGCGACTATGCCATACAATAAGTAGGGCTGAATAAGAGATATGTATATGTGGCGTAAAGTATTCAGGGGTACAAAGTGTCTAAGGCTGGCAATGATGCTAATTGTTTTACTTGTTTTTGAAGCGATGTGAGCGATATGGTACTTCCAAGAAAGATTGTTTATCAGGTCGATCGAACCAGATCGGCAGGCTTGCGCGCACGAGACTGCCGTTAAGAGTGCCTCGATTATGTTAGAAAATATGCGTTTTAAAATAAATCCTCGATGCGTCAAGCCACGATATCTTCAAAATAATACAAGCTGCTTGTGAAACTCTCTCGCGCGCGAAATACAGTGGGTAAGAAAATTTGGTTACCAGTAAAATAACTTAATCAACAGGTATGTTAACCCAAATGCAACACGTGGTTTCTTGGCGGGAAATCGCATGGCCAACTGGCCTTTTTAGAGAGAAGAAACAACAACTAAGACAAGTCCTTGCTTAGTCCCTAGGCATCATTATTCCGCGCGGCCAAAGCGTTTCGGGTCACGTGGTCCAAGCGAAAATGTAAAAATGTTTCCCGCCGGTTCGCCTAGGATACGTCATTGAAGTGAATTGACCGAGAGGGACTGGGAAAACGCCGTAAAGGAACTGAAGGCAAGTCAAATCCGACCAAATAGGAAAGTCTCTACTGACCTGGATAACAGAGAAAGAGCTAAAGCGTTAGATAAGAAGAAAAAGCATGTGTAATTAGGAAGGTTCACGTAGTAGACGTGCAAAACAACGTAAAAGAAATGCACAAAAAGAGTGTGCTTCACGTGCCAAGTTTTTGTTGTTTTTTTGGGCTGAGTTAGACCTCTTGATTTTTTGCCGTTCTCGTTGCCGTCGCCGTTTGGTATTACACGATTTTATTTCTATGTTTCAGTGAATTGTAAGTATATTAACGAGAGCCTCGCTTTTAGCCCTGGTTGAGTCTGTATATTAGGGAGCTTAGGCAGCAATGACGGCGACGGCTACAAAAACGTCACTTGAAAAGAGAATTCGCGCTGCTTTAAACTTTATCGCATCCATCTCGTTCAATTCGACAAATAATAGCGAATTTTTCTGGAGATGAATTCCAAAGGACCGTATCGAAGTTCAGGGAAAGCAAAAAAATTGTTGTCTGGTGTCCACGTCCTCCACAAAACGGCAAATAGGGACGTTTCACGTCGTGGCCGTGTAGCGACGGCAAAGAAATGTACAAGAATGCATAATGCAAGATACGTGCCTTGTTGTTTTGCCAATCTAAACCTGTTGCTTTCTCACCATTTACTTTGCCAGGCCCTCTTGGTCGTCGTTGCTTACTCTCCGTAATATTCTATGTTCTAGAAACTGCGAGAACATATATGAATTAATTCTCTGAACTTTGTTACTACAGTTATTTTTGTTTTTTTCGGTTGCATTAATGCAGGAGGAATTCCCTGATCATAATGGATTCGAAGAAGGTAAAGACTACGTATTGATAACGCGTGTAGGAGAGGGTGCTTTCGGAGAATGCTTCATGGCTGTCGAGCTTCCATATGATAAGGAGAGGGAGTTCTGCGTGAAAAAGGTATGGTTTTGTTGGTTTCGCACTCAGCGCTTATTGTGTCCAGCGGAAAGATTGCGGCTTCTAACCACTCGGCCACGCGACCACAACACCATCTACAATGAAAATTAAAATTCTTGAAGTATCTTTCTCTGCCATTCACACTGTTTGAACCTTATGGATCGGAGTTGTGTTTATCATGAATTCAAAGATACATTTGAGGGAAAATAGCTCGCTGTGGCTTTTTTACTGTTTATTCTCAATGCTGACCCTGTTAGCTTCGCGAGATTTTTGCAAAAACGTATTTCTAGTTTATCTTTAGATAATTTGGCATATTCACAGGCTATGGACTGAGTCCTCCAAATTATAACTGGAGGTAAATTTGACCTAATCAGTTGACTCCACTTCGACGTTGTTTTTCGGATAACCGTATAGAACGGTTGCGAACGGGAAGGGGAGGAAGGAAAAGATTTGTTTTACATCCAGAGATGTACAGTAACTCCCAAAAATGCCGTAGTCAACTAACCGGACATGGTGAACGGCGTCATATTCGGCCACATTCCCCGGTATAATGGCAGGTGAAATTACAGAGAGGGGGAATGATCGAGGGGCGTTGCTGCCCCCTGGGTACAAGTGGGAGGGTTTTGAGTAAGCAAAGTTGAGGAAATGTGATGATATCTAAATGTTTCAAACTGAAAGTGGCGTTATCTCCTGCGGCGCCAATTAATAATTCTTCTCCCGTCCAATATGAATGTGCACTCAAATTATAGTCACAGTGGGTAAAAAAAAAGGTTATTGAAATACTTGCATAACTTACGGTTTGTTGATTCTATATTAAATATTTCTGATGTTCTTCGTCTGAAAAAAGTGCCAACTGAAGGATATAAATGAGTTACTGGTATTAACACTGGCAAGAAAGGAAAGTGTGGCAGAAATTGTGCAGTTTTATGGTGCGAAATTAAAAGGCAAAAGTGCTTCTATTTTTATGGAGTTTATGAAAGGTGAGAGACTTTTTAACAACTGTTTCAAAGTTAAAATTCAAAGTAAATAGTAGTTAATAGTCTCTGTATAACAGTATCATAAAAGTCTTCCATTTTCAGTAGTTCATAGAAGGAGAGAAGTATTTGGAAGTATAAGCTGCTATAAGTTAACCTTATGTTTAATTGACAAACATATATATATATATATATATATATATATATATATATATATATAGCAGACAACCTTGATTATACTACGCTCTAGTCCTTCTACTGAGCACTCTGCCGATAGGCGTGCATATGCATCAACTGGTATATATACATAGCCAGTAAGGCTCAGGTTTAAAACCATACGTAAACGTTTTCTGGAGAGGTTTTCCTAGTTTCTGGCACAGTTTTTCGCGTTCTCTTTTACTTGATTTTGCCGGATTATTTTTCTACGAAGATTCCAATAGTCTCCGCTGTACGCTAACATGAAATCCTTTTTTAGGTGGAACCATAGCTGAGCTTTTCGAAGACGAAAAGAAAAACTGCGCCAAGGCTGTTGGTGTTGTTTCTTCGCCGCCAGTAATTTCAGAGATATACTGTCTTTGGTACTTAGAAAATGTTCTGAGGGCGTTAGTTTTCTTACACAAGAAAGGGATCGTTCATAGGGATGTCAAAGGTAACAATCAGTTATAGAGAGTTGGGCTCGAGTGCACGGAGGCAGTCAATCATTATACGTTTTTGGAAAACTGCCCACCTACCCCTCCCCTAAATGTTAGGTCATTTGAAACCCTTTGGAAAGTTCAGAGACTAACTCTTCTTAACAGTGAACAAGGTTAAATACTTTGAGGGTAAAACTTGAATCACCTTACTGTCATTTCATGTTTTTTGTTACGTTTATTGTTGGTTTTGTTTTGTTTGTTGTTTTTTCAATTAGACTTGTATTATTATGCAGTAGCTTTGAGATTACCTTTATCCTAATCCCAATAAGTCTGTCCCCCTATATATAAAGAAAAATATATAGATTTAGCTAGCCAAAGCAAAAAGAGAAGTTCTCTTGGGATCTTTGAAGAAATGTCCTTTTTAACTGGTTCAAATTTGGCCGTAAGTAAGAAGCAAATTGGATTTCTTCTTAAAAAAATAGACCTAAGCCTGTGATCAATTAAACCGATAACTGGTTAGGGATAACTTTAAAAAACACGTCACCTCAATGATTTGTACACTTGAGCCTGCGATACAGCCATGTGACACTGGTCAGCGGATACCCTTTTTGACAGCTGTCATTTGACCGTAAGTTTTTCTGGATATCCGCTATCAAGTTAAACAGAGATTGAGCACTTACTGAAAAAGAAACTAAGTAAGAAGGCATTTCACACCCACGAATGTTAGGGGGCGGACGTTACGTACGTACGGACGATTTTGCCCAAAATTTCTTGGCCGCATAAACAACCAAATTTTTTACTCAGTTTTTTACCTCTCATTACGTAACCGGAAAAGTTGCCAAAGCTTTGTGGAAGGCAACGCTTATTGTTATCATGACCTGTTCTTGTTTAATGTTATTGTTTAATCTAGGGTTAAATGTACTGTTACCCGAAGATCGCCGCAATGCCAAACTAGCAGACTTTGGATCAGCTGAAAATCGCAAAGTACGTAAAAAAGTCGTTCATGAAATAGCCAACCATCGCCCCATGTAAGGTAATCCAACACAGCCTTGGATTTTGGATTCCACGCCGTGGCGGATTCCGGATCTCAGGTACTGGGTTTCAGTCTTTGTCAGTGGAACTTAGTTTCCGGATTCCAATCGTTAGTGGGATTCCGGATTCCAAAGCCCAAGATATCCGTATTCTACCTGAAAAAATTCCCCAGCTTCCGGGTTCCCCAATCACACGGGTTCCCGGATTCTGGAATCTGGGATCTGGATTAGCTTACATGGGGCGCAAATATGAAAACAAGACAATGAGCTAATGCCTGGTTCATCATAAAGCGTGAAGCAACACATCATGATCACATTTATAACCTTTTGACGACGGTTTTAGATCACTGAACTATCACCATCTCAGTAAAATACCATTGATTGGTTACGACAATTAGATATTTGCAGAGCAACACTCGTTTGTGGTTTGTAAAACTGCTCAACTTATGGGCTTTAGTTAACTGTGTCTACTTCTTTTCAAGGTTTTTACTTTCTCTGTTGCCGAACAAATGCTTCCTTAGCCTAGAAATACGTACGCCTCGCCTCGCTCCTAGTCACTCAGTACGTTTTGAGAGAAACTACTCCCTCGTTTTCCCTGCGCGTGCGTCGAGAAGCGATTAAAGGCCGTTGTAGTCGCAGGCAAGAGATCTATTATGAGTTCTGTCGCAGGCCAATGCTCATCTTCATTCACTTTGCTGGTTTCTGAAATAAACAATTACCAAATTAATTTTTACCTTTTAGTTAATTTCTCCCGTTTTTCCTTAAGAATATGGGTACCTTTATTGACATTTGGAAGACTGGCTGTTTTTTCCTGGAAATGTGGAATGGAGAAAGACCTTCCAGTCTTTTGGCTCTTACTGTAAGTGGCAATAACTATCTTTAAGTGATTCGTACTTCCCTGTTCTGCTTACAAGGTTAGCTACTACTAAGAGAACTTTAAAGGAGGTCAGCCAGCTTCAAGGTTTTAGGCCAATCGGTATATATGCGCATAACTAAACGTGAGGCAGCTCATTGTACGTGTACATGTGACGCCAAGATAGTGCGGTTGGATATCGGCAAAGGTCTAGGTTTATTAAACAAATTGAAAAAAGAAACCACAACAACGGAGCCAGCCATTCAACTTTTTCTCGAGAAAAAACAAGCAAAGCAAAACTCAGACAAACAAAAATCTTTCGCCTGAAGCAACTAATGATTTTGAGTATACGGTACACCGCGAATCTTCCACTTCGGTAGAAGAATGGTATACAGCTGTTTCGAGAAAGATTGTCGGAAGAAATGCGCACGCGATAATCCCGAAAGGTAATATGGGATACACTGTTCAAGCTGTCGAACCTACTTTTGTTTCTTTCCTTTACTACTCGCAAACATATGTCCGTGGCCTCCCGTACTATTCTTTCAAATTTCTTTAAAGAAAAGTGCCCTCAAAGCCACCCACAATACCTTTCGGGATTGTCGCGTGCACTTTTTCCGACAACCTTTCTCGAAATAGCTGTATACTAGCTAACAGGTTGCTCCAAGAACTAACCCTTTAAATAATGTTTCTTTTTAATAACCTTCCAAAAGACGTTAGAATTTGAAGTTTTCTGTGCTGAGGAATAAGGAGGAAGTCTTGAATGTTAATTGCTGATTGACAAGTGTTCTGTGTTTGTACATACATGTATTAAAAAATTTTACAGTGAAATTAAAAGTGAGTTATTGTTATTTTTTAGGAAGGAGGCAGTGTTCACCCTCAAAGGCAGACTTCATGTAGGCCTGAAGATCACATCCCTTTGTCAGCATCAAACGAAACTAAGGAGTTGTTACGTTTATGCTTCGGAGTAAATAATGAAGAACATGGCAACCTGCCCAGCGCTGCTGAACTTTTGAAAAAGTTGGAATCTTTCCCAGCGATACTTTCTAGAACAGTCTAGTTGACGTTACACTCCTCTTTCGGATTCTCTGTTAAGGCTACTGAATATTTACTACAATGTTCCTATAAGACAGTTATTCCATGCGAAGTACGAAGTATGTTTTCCCTTAAACACGAAATGGCTATCTGAACTGTGGCCGATAAAAATATTTGTACTTGCTTTCCTCGAAGGAGTAATGCAAAGAATTAATTATGACATGTCCCCAAAAATAAGGATTTTATTTCATTTATTATAAAGTTGTCGAACGCCTTCTTTGCTCGAGATTAACCACTTATAATTACTATGGCAAAATTTTCAATTTGATTTTTTCAATCTTCTCTCTTTGGAAATCAGTTTTCCTTGGCAGAGGGTTACACCTAGAGAAACTGCGAGTATACAACTGCCCGTGGCCGGTTTGATACACGTGAATGTACAGCCTCACAATAACGTTGGCAGGTAAACATCAATCTATTGTCACGTTTGAAATAAAAGAAAGAAAACAAGCGAAAAAAAAAAGGTAAATAATAAAATGAGATAGAGGAACGCAAAAGCTAGCTAATCTAAGCTAGAAAGTTCTCTTTCAAGCTGCTTTATTGCAATGCCCCATGCTAGTCAGTCGTTTGTGAGGTCGGGATAATTAAACAATGCAAGCCCCCTATCGCTTCATAAGAATTTATGTTCAGGGATGATCCAAAACGGCCTAAGAACTACCATCTGTTGAGTTTCTACCCGAACTAGCGTCATCAGCTGACGTATTGTATGAACAAGTTCTGTTTCTGTACTTTAGTTTGAAGGTCTAGTTTACTTTAGAAGTTCTAATGAATTTACACAGCACAAAAATGCCAAGCTAAAGACATTTGACATGGTTGTTAAGTGTTTTATCCCTTTGACATTTTCTAAATAGTATTACGTAAACATCGTTTACATTTATAACGTTCGCATCTGTACAGAAACTGTGCAATTCACGTTGCCTGAATATTCCCCAGTTTCGCAATGGAGCTGTTCCCGTTGGTTTTAGTTGTTGTGGGGCTCGCTTTCGTTGCAAGCGAATTTCAGTCAAAGCCAACCGATGGGTTTCAAGATTCGTTAATAGAGGAAACTTCTGATGAAGCGAACGCGAGACACGGGTATCAGTTAAAGCCAACCATTGGGTTTCAAGATTCGTTAATGGAGGAGACGTCTGATGACTCGAACGCGAGACACGGGTATCATTGTTACACGGTAAGCTTTAAAAGAACCAGTAAACCGTATTACAATCTTGCGGTGCCCTAGTTCCTCTCTCACCGGGCATCACTGACTTGAATCAGCAGGAGTATACAGCTCTGCTGTGTTGGTGGATAAGGACATGTTCTTAACCTAATTCTGAATCTAAATCACATCAAACGGATCTAGGGTTACATTCGATTATCTTACTGATACCAAGTGGACAATCGAAACAGTTTTTTCGATCACGATCAGTTTTGCAGAATTCAATGTATTATGAAAGCTGATCGGGTTTTCTACAGATCCTACGTTCTGTGGCATATTCGTTTGCGGTCCTTTGCTGTTTAAATGTCAATTTATTGCTTATTTTGGGGCCGTAGGTCTTTTATAGATCCGATATGCTGTTCATTTTTGCATGGTTTTGCCCATGGAGACACGTGATGTGGCGTGGTTCGGTTAATTAGTGTTGGAGTTAAATGTCAGGGCTCTAAAACAGAGTGAGCGGGTAATTTTTAGCAGAGCTTCTCTGTTTGTTGCGCCGTAGCTTACTGATGAGCCACAAGAATGGCGAAACAGCTGTCTACGCCGTTACGACCCCGCTCTGTTTTGTGTTCTTTCAGTGTCGTGTTGATGTCTTGCAAAGTTGATTTTCATGTAGTACGATCAGCTACGTGAAAAAAGCTACATGAAAAAAGAAGGGATTCTTTGAAGGGGATGATCAAATTGAGAGATTTTCTAAGTGTTATTACGGTCAATCCGAAAGCGACCACACCTAGGGCTTTCATCTGTCTTCAGTTTTTGTTTTTGTTTTGTTTTGTTTTGTTTTTTTCACACAGTAACCTTCCGATCCTTAATGTAAAATCGTGGAATAATACTGTAAATGTGCTTTTCGCAAAAGATGTATAAAGGACGGACCTTTTTGGCTTCTTTCATTAGTAGCTTACAACTAGAAAACGAATGAGTTATCAGGCGAATAAAAGATCGACTTCAACTTCATTCAAAAGATAAGGTATGGATAGGCCAATTCTGCAAAATGTGCTTAGCTTCTTACTACACACAAAAAGACACTGAAAAAAACCTTTTAGTAGTTCGCATGGGAAAATCTGTCATCCAAAGAGCTGCGAGTAAATGCCAAATAAAAAAAAACTAACAATGATTTTTTTGATCATGGGAACCACAAAACTCTGTATTTACTTTTAGTGAAAATATTACAAAACTAGGTAAATATTTACAATAAACCTATGATTGAGTCTCTTGCTACATGTTTTTGTAAACGGATGTTATTTTGCTACTTGACAGATGAAAGTTTAAGACATCAGAGACGCCAAGAAAAAGATTATTGTTTGTATACTGCAGACTTCTCAGACGGTTGTCAAAAATCAGGAGAAAAGTTGAGAATACAGTAAAAACACAAGCACAATTTTAAAACGACGACTTTGAAATTTGCCTTTGTCTTATTAATTCTGGATCTGTATCATCTATATAATTTTGCAAAGCCAGTTAAATAAATAAATAAGTTTGGCTCGGCCTTAATTCGAATTAGGTTCGGCTCATGAAAAGTTCGGCGTCTGAACCGGGCCTTGGCGACTTTTCCTAACAATTATCTGAGAAAATTTTAAAGTCGTCGTGTCGTGTGCGTCAACATTGACGTTACCATGGCAACCGAGTTTTGGCAACCACGTTTCTCAAAATTTGCATTTTTCTCACTAAAATAGGTTTTAATTTTATTTTTACGAATGTAATTATTGTAATACTTATATAACACTTAAATTAGCGCTATTTTATCAAAGTTATTGACACTGTTGATGAAATCCAGGCTTTTTAGTGACTAGCTTAAGAAATGAGTTAATATCACCAAATAGCAGACGCTTTTTTAATTTTTAACAGTGTTCATTTCTCCCGTAACTGCATATTTCTCAGATTTTTTGCCTCCTAAGCATCCTTTTATTCTCAGATCAAGTTTTCTTTAAAAATTCCTCGATTTATACGGGTTTTAAGTAAAATGGAACACACAAGATGGCGGATGCTTCCAGTTCCTTTTTAGTAATAAAATGACGTCATGATGACATTACTTCAGATATTGTTAAAACTTATTTATTGTTAGCCAGCTTCTTGATTTTATGAAACAGCCTTACCCTTTAAGTATATTTTTGCTTAAGTGTACTTGGATTCTGTCCCTGTGGCAGGAAGCAAAAGAGCCGGGTCTGAATAGGGTTAAACCTACAAGTAGTTCAGAACTTATTTAAATGTTACTTTGCTCTTGAAACATACAGAGACGATGCTACTACAGCAGCCACTGTCAAAGAGGCCAATTCTGTTACTACGGGCGGTGCTGCCAGTATAGTTACCCATCTGGCTACTGCAGATCGCAGAGCGGCTGTAAATCATATCAGTGCTGTTCAAAACATAACTCGCAGCAGGCTTACGGCATCTGCAGGAATCTCAAGAAACCGGGAGAGTTTTGCCCTTTAAAGGTATTCTTAGTCGATAATAACATTCAGCATTTCATTCCTTTTTTCCCAATTTAACTTTGGTACAAACTAGATGCGGATCATTATATCACTTCCAGGCTATGTTCAAACTCAGATACCGGATAGTTTTTCTTGCCGACACGAAAAGCTACCCGGCATATTATGAACAGCAATGGCACAAACTGGAACAAGTCGTCCACACACGTATCGAACATCGCCGGCCGGAGCGACGGATCAAAAGGGTTTGATGAACTAAATCCCAGTCCTCACTCCTAAATATTTACCTAGCCCTCTCCTAAGCCAACGTGAACACTTACTTCTCATTTAGTGCAAATGTTGGCTTAGGGGAGGGGTAGGTGGGCAGTTTCCCAAAAACGTATGGATTGCATTCCTCACGCCTATTTGTTCACTTCTGGTACTAACGGTCTTGATTACCTGTTTACACTGTACCAAAGTGTGACACAGAACCTAGGCAATACGTGACGCTCCACTTTCCCAATCGGCGCGGCGCCGCTTCGTTACGTTACAGAAATCGTGCTGAAATCACCGTTCTTATGACTTTGTCAAAGGAAGCCCTATACCATTTTTGTGCCGGCGCAAAAGCTGCTCAGTATATATAGTGTGAGCATAGCGTCAGATAAATGCACGCAGACAATGCTCTTTTCTTATTCTGGGCTATTCAAGGGTCGCATGAATTCAAATTCGCTGCTTCCCCTTAAATAATAATATAATCAGTAGTAATATTTATTAACTTACTTTTAATCCTTTATTTAGCACCCCTCTCAGCCCCCTCTCTCCAGTGGGCCACCCGTTTTCGGGGGAAGAAAATAAATACTAAGCCACCCTCTCTTTTAAGCCCCTTCCCCTTCCCCTTATTAATCTTCAATAATAAATGATAGACTGCATTACTGATCAATCACGACTGTAAAACTTCATGTGGACTGATCCGGGATGGTTTATTCACAACTACAAGTTCGGCATGATTTGCTTTTGATCAGTCTTCGGCTACATGACCTCCAACTTCTTGTACTTGAGCTTTTCCACTGTCTACTTTGGTTCTTTTTGGGGAATGGAAACCATCGTCTCTGCTAAAACAAATAAGCCCGCTCTCACATAAGCCACCGTCTCTATTAAGCAGCCCCGCCCCTCCCCTTCCCCACCTCCGGTGTTTGAAATAAATAAGCCTCCCGGGGGGCTTATTAGAGGACTTACGGT